CTAACCCAGAACTGTCTCTTACAAATACATCGACACAAAACTGGACTTTCTGGCAGCTGGCATGTAGCTGGCGGGGGGCAGGGGTAAGTACAGTATTGGCCAGCTTTGCTTTAAAGAAAAATTGCCATCTAAACCTAAAGGAATGATTAGCCCCTGGCTGAGCAAGGCAGTCAGGATGATAGGACTAAGCACAGACATATAACCATAATAAAAGAAATGAAGCCACATCTCTGGACGGATAGGGTTTTGCAGCTATCAGCATCCCATTGCGCTTCTGATGATCAATCTGAAGCTTGGAGGAGGAAAGGGGAAGCAGAAAGACATTGTGCAATGAAACGCTTCAGCACCAAACCCAAAGGAAGGAGGGCAGGGAAGGCCTGGTTCCTACCCATCCACTCCCACCTTCCTCCTCGCTGGCTGCTTCCAGCACTGTTCATGAAGGAAGTTAAAACTAAGTCCATAGTTGTTCTTCGTTCACTCTGGTGTCTGCCTGCTCTGCAAGCTGAGATTGGTTGTGGAAAGTTTTCAGCATTGCTGCCCACACACCTCCCTCCTGCTGCCCGCTGCGGCTGTGAACAGCTAGTGCTGCAGTCTGTGGAAGGATGCAGGAGATGCAGCTCCCCCATGCAGCGGGTACCATGCCAGGTTGCATCAGTAGCTTTTGTAGTCCAGTGTCCTGCCCCGTACCAGTCAGGGTCAGAGGCATCTTCCTTTGTGGTACAAAATCAGGGAACAGCATTGTCCTGGGGTGTTTGTTTTTGACTGAGGCAGTTAACAGCTTGCACATATTCATGCATAAGGGTTTGCCATTTTATTTATCCCATTTACTGTACAGGGGAGTGTGATCATCTTGAATGCTGGACAGCTGTAGGGCACCCATTCTCCAAATACTTTGGGGAAGAAGGATAGCAAAAGAAAGAAAAGAGAAGGAGAGACCACCTGGACCCTCATGGCAGCAGAAGCCCATGTATTCAGGGAATGACTTGAGCTGCGTGTTTTGACATGATACGTGTGGTAACCCATGGGGAAAAGAGGTGCTGCGCAGACCTCAGCAGTGCTGCCCACAGAGGAGGAGGCAGGATGGTCCCCCTCTCCACAGGGAACTTGAGCAGATCTGCCTGCTTCCCTGCCGAGCCCCCGAGACTTACTGATGAATGCAGATTATCCAATGTTATCCAAATACTTCTCCCCATCTCAACAAACCAAGACAGCAAATACAGGGACTGGATTGGGGATACCAAACTGTTGGCTTGTCAGTGTTTTGGCTGTATCTATCTCCACATTTCATTATTAAAGGTTTTGGGTTTTTTCTTTTCCCTTTTGCTTATTTTGACCCTGAATGCAGGTGCTTTCAACCTCTTGACAATCCGGAGCGCAGTTGCTCTGGATAACACATTGAAGACACACATGCTGTGAGTCTCTGAGGTGCTTTTAGTGTTGTATCGGAGCCCATGCAGGTCTGTGTTACTTAGCAAACATTAGCAGCAGCAGTCAGATGAGAAGCCTGATAATAAATCAGTTGTAAGGGTCAAGAGAGGACAACAAGGCTTCAGGGAGACCTTATTGCGGCCTATCAGTACTTAAAGGGGGCTTATAAGAAAGATGGCAGCAAACTTTTTAGCAGGACCTGTTGCGACAGGACAAGGGGGAATGGTTTTAAACTAAAAGAGGGTAGATTTAGACTAGATATAAGGGTATATTTTACAATGAGAGTGGTGAAACACTGGAGCAGGTTGCCCAGAGAGGTGGTAGATGTCCCATCCCTGGAAACATTCAAGGTCAGGTTGAATGGGGCTCTGAGCAACCTGATCTAGTTGAAGATGTCCCTGCTCACTGCAGGGGGCTTGGAGTAGATGACCTTTAAAGGTCCCTTCCAACCCAAACTATTCTATGATTCTATGATTCTATGAACATCACCTTGCAATCCACTGAAATTCCAGTTTAACCACTGAGGTATGAGGGTTGTACAGAAGATAGAAAAGCAGGAGCAAGCTTAAACTCAGCTTTATTTTAGAAGTAACACTGAAAAGGTGTAGATTTTGTTTATTACTTTGGCAACTGCACAGATTTGGATGCTGTTTTCCCATCCATCCCTCACAGAATCAGATTTTAGAAGCAGCTTCCCTGGACATGGCGAACAGAAGTATTGTCAAGTATCTTCTGTGAAAGTTCACTTGTCAAATCTTAGGCAGTCTGATTTCACTGGATAAAAGCTGAGGGAGGATAAAATGCTGCATGGTGCTTCCTACCTTGTTCAGCACACACAAGTTAGCAAATTCATCTGGCTGTATTGGCAGTTACAGTGCTTTGTTTTTGCTATTTGCAGAGGGGTCAGGAGAGTTGTTCCCCACTGCTAACTCTCCTGCTAGGTACAGCAAGGCAGTGCCAGTGCTAATGTGCTTTCTTCTCCTGTTGCTCAGTCTCATCCCTGGCATTTCTTTGTCTTAGTTTAACAGGTATTAGGGGTTTTTTTCAGTGATGGGCTTTCTCAGCAGTATTCCCCAGTAGACTCTCAGGTAATCGTGGGGCCGGTGAATTGTTTTGCACTCTGCTTAGCAGCCTGGCTGGCGTGTACCGCCTCTAGCAACTGCTGGGTGAAAATCACAGGTGCCCTTTGTGGACAGCCTAGGAATTCAAAATCATAGGCAGTTTTCTGAGCATCTCTAGATAGGCTTTCAAGTGGCAAGATTGTTAAAAAGAAAACAAAATGCTGCCTTCTGTTTTTTGAATTTATAGGGGTCACCTTAAAATTTTCCTGTGGGACCAGGGAGGCTGGAAGCGTTCTCTGTTTTTAAGATCTCATATTCTCTTATATATGTCCATGACTTTGGGAGGTGGGTCATTTAGAGCACCGCCAGGTTAGGGCACACTGTTCCATCACAGCAAATAATATTTTGTGGAAGGACGCATAGTATTTCTTTGAAAATGTAGCCTGGGGGAGACGAGGGAGAGTTCTCGGCAGAAACTTTTGCATAAAGCATTGTGATAGAGCAGCCAGGGAATATACTCCATGCTAATAAAGTTTTTTCTTCAGTGTGAAAAGTGTGTGCTTTGTGAGTGGCAGCGGGTCTTTTTTTACCTTTTGACATTCTAACTTGACCCATGATGAGGCATCCACCAGCACGCCTTTTCAGTCCTTTCCAAAGAGCTGCCAAAACTAAAGAGATTTTTTTGAGAATAATCTGTGACCCAGCAAGGTTGGCTGTGAGGTTTGTTTGTTTTTCTCTCTCCCGCTGGTTCCTACTGTTCTCTTACTCCCACATCCTATCCGACTCTTGTTTTCAAATGTATTCTTCAGCCTTCTCCTTCCCTACCTACTGCATCCTGTGTTCTGCTTTCTGACTTCCTTCTCGTTTCTTATAGCTTTTCTTTCCAGTTCCTGTTCGTTCTGGTCCCGGAGGAATGAGGAGTGAAACATTAACAGTTGCTGGAGGACCAGGTTAATATGGCTGTTGTTATGAGTTTAGAGTTCAGGTGGGGGCTCCGGGAGACATCCTTTGTGTACGACGTTGTGCCCCGGAGCTCTTTGCACCACTTCATTGCTGGGGCAGTAGAGAGGAATGTATATCTGTGCTTCACCCACTACCATCTACAGTCCAGCATTTAAGATAAAAATACTGATAAAAGTTGATCTTTGCTAAGATATGGATGTTCCAATTACTGCTAGTTAGTTAACAGGTGGTAAACTGCTCTGCTATTATCACTCCACTGTGTGTCTCAGTTACAAAGAAGTTGAAAAGCTTCAGACATAGGGTGAGCAAAGCAAGTGGATTTGAATCATCACACGTGTCTCGATAGGGCATATGGGAGTTGCAGATACTTTGACAGTGGTTTGAAAAACATGTCATTTCACAGTAAATTCAGCGTGCATACCTGTGTCTTCTTTTCTAAGTCGTATTGCGTCTTTTACAATAAGGCTCTTATATTAGTAGGGGATATATCCCTGTGTTATCTGTACCTCTTTGTCAGTTGAGGATCACCGTCCTCATAAATCTGTGCTTAGAATATGTGCAGGCACTTCCTGTGCTGATGTCAATGTACCCTGAATATAAATCACAGATATAAAATACTTACATTACTAACAATTTCTCCATTGAAATGTTGCATGGGTAAGGCTGGAAAATGTAGGTCTTTTTTATCTTTCTGAGGATACACCTAATTTGTGTATCGCGAGCTTTTACATTGTCTGCAAATACAGCTTTACAGACTATATAAAGAAGAGCATTTTCCAGCTGAGGTTAGCTGTAGCCAAAGGTTTGATTAGCCTGACCCTTACAGTCCACAAAATCTAGTGTTGTAAATGGAAATGTGCCTGGAAGAAGAAACCTTTTAACATAATAGTCACCGTGCTGGCAAATTTATCTTCCTGCTAATTTCTTATGACTGATGCCCAAATGGTTATCAGTTGTGTACTAATGTAATCTTCCGTCCTGCTGGTTTATTTATAACCAGGATTGATCCATTTATGTATGGCTGCATATAGCAATTAGTTTTCATTTTTTATCTTATTTTACACATTTTTGTGTATGCAAGACATAAGGAGGAATCCACCTTGTAAAACAAGTTTGGTATAAATGGATTGGTGAGTCGATATACCTGTCCTTTTGGGATATTATATACTTTTACCAATGTCATCCTAACAGAAAAAATAAATGTAAAGGAATTGAAACCTGATGTATTTGTTATCTATACATGTATAGAATTTCACTGCTTTTCAGATTTCTAGATGATTTTATACAGTTTTCAGTTAACTTTTGTAATTTAAAATATTTGGTTTGGGAATGTAACTGTAGTAGGTAGTTATTTCTTGAAAGACTACCTAGGTTATTAATGGAAAAAAAATTGATAAAATGAAGGTGATTTAAAAAATGGAGGAATACACCTATATATATATTTTAGTTTAATGCATCTCTTCTAACTTGTTTCAGGTTGAAGAAACTTCTTGAGCAGGAGAAGATCTATCAAGCCCGGAAGGAGAAGGAATATACGAAGAGACTCAATAAACTAAGAGAAGAACTAGTCAAGCTCAAATCGTTTGCACTCATGCTGGTGGATGAAAGACAAATGCATATTGAACAACTTGGTCAACAAAGCCAGAAAATACAGGACTTAAACCAAAAACTAAAGGAAGAAGAAGAAAAGCTTAAAATTATTAGTGCAAAAACAAAAGAAGATGGACAAAAACTGATGAAGTTAGAGGCAGAACTTGAACACAAAACGTCATCATTTTCTCAAGAATATGAGGAGATGACTGCTAAACTGGCTAATCAGGAGTCACATAATAGACAGCTAAGGCTTAAGCTAGTGGGGTTGACTCGCAGAATAGAGGAGCTAGAAGAAACTAACAAAAATCTTCAAAAAGCTGAGGAGGAACTTCAAGAACTAAGAGATAAAATAGCAAAAGGGGAATGTGGGAACTCTAGTTTAATGGCAGAAGTGGAAAACCTCCGCAAGCGTGTGCTTGAAATGGAGGGGAAAGATGAAGAGATCACAAAAACTGAATCCCAGTGTAAAGAGCTGAAAAATAAACTGCAAGAGGAAGAGCACCATAGCAAAGAGTTGAAACTTGAAGTGGAAAAATTGCAGAAGAGAATGTCAGAACTAGAGAAGCTGGAAGAGGCTTTCAGTAAAAGTAAGTCTGAATGCACCCAGCTACACATAAACTTAGAGAAAGAAAAGAATTTGACTAAGGATCTGCTAAATGAGTTGGAAGTGGTGAAGACCCGAGTGAAAGACCTTGAGGCATCAGAAAGCAAGTTGGAAAAGGCTGAAATAAGCTTAAAAGATGACCTCACAAAGCTGAAGTCATTTACTGTAATGTTGGTTGATGAACGAAAAAATATGATGGAAAAAATAAAACAGGAGGAAAAAAAGGTTGAGGGTCTAAACAAGAATTTTAAAGTTGAACAAGGGAAAGTTATGGATGTAACAGAGAAACTGATAGAAGAAAGTAAGAAATTTTTGAAACTGAAATCTGAAATGGAGGAAAAAGTGTCCAGTTTGACAAAGGAAAGGGATGAGTTAACTGGCAAACTGAGAAGTGAAGAAGAAAAATCCTCTGAACTAAGCTGTAGAGTTGACCTGTTAAAGAAAAGAATTGATGGTATGGAGGAAGTGGAAAGAGAAATTACAAGAGGTCGAACCAGGAAAGGACCAGAGCATGGTTGTCATGAGGACAACAAGATTAAAGAACTTACCATTGAAATTGAAAGACTGAAAAAACGTCTCAAACAATTGGAAGTGGTTGAAGGAGATTTGATGAAGACAGAAGATGAATATGATCAGCTAGAGCAGAAATTTAGGACAGAGCAGGATAAAGCTAACTTTCTTTCTCAACAGCTGGAGGAGATGAAGCTCCAGATTGCCAAAACCAAAGCAATAGAAAAAGGTGAAGCAGTGAGCCAGGAGGCAGAGTTGAGGCACAGGTTTCGTCTGGAAGAGGCCAAAAGCAGAGATTTGAAAGCAGAAGTTCAAGCTCTTAAGGAAAAAATCCATGAGCTGATGAACAAAGAAGACCAGCTTTCTCAGCTCCAAGTCGATTATTCGGTTCTGCAGCAAAGGTTTATGGAAGAAGAAAATAAAAACAAGAGCATGGGGCAGGAAGTTCTGAACCTAACAAGAGAGCTGGAGCTTTCTAAGCGTTACAGCCGTGCTCTGAGGCCCAGCATAAATGGACGAAGAATGGTCGATGTTCCCGTGACATCCACCGGCGTGCAAACAGATGCTGTAAGCAGTGAAGCAGCAGAAGAAGAAACTCCAGCAGTGTTTATAAGGAAATCCTTCCAGGAGGAGAATCACATCATGAGCAATCTACGACAGGTAGGTCTGAAAAAACCCATAGAGCGTTCTTCAGTGCTCGAGAGATATCCTCCAGCAGCGAATGAACTTGCAATGAGGAAATCTTGGATACCATGGATGAGAAAGAGGGAAACTGGGGCTCAGGGAACTCCTGATAAAGGAGCCCGAACCCACGGTAGTCCAGCACATCCTGGGGAGGTTGTTCTTTCACCAAAGCAAGGCCAACCTCTTCATATTCGGGTGACGCCAGACCATGAGAACAGCACAGCTACTTTGGAGATAACCAGTCCAACCTCAGAAGAATTTTTTTCAAGTACCACCGTCATTCCTACTTTGGGAAATCAGAAGCCACGAATAACCATCATTCCCTCTCCAAACGTTATGCCCCAAAAAGGGAAAGGCAGTGAAAGTCCCATGGGCCCAGATCGTTCTATGTCTCCAGTCACTATAACCACATTCTCCAGGGAAAAGTCCCCAGAGGGAGGGAGAGCACCCTTTGCCGACAGACCTGCATCGCCAATTCAGATTATGACAGTATCAACATCCGCAGCACCAGCAGAAATCTCTGTCTCTCCGCAGTCACAAGATATGACTATGGGAAGGGCTGTCTTCAAAGTAACGCCGGAAAAACAAACCGTCCCAACTCCAATCCGCAAGTACAATGCCAACGCCAACATTATTACGACAGAAGACAACAAAATCCACATCCACTTAGGTTCCCAGTTTAAACGCTCTCCCAGTGCTGCACCTGATGGCGCGAGTCCTGTGATAACAGTCAGACCGGTGAACATAGCAGCAGAGAAAGAAGTTGGGACCGGTACCGTCCTTCGATCGCCCCGGAACAATCTGTCTTCGCGACCTGCAGCAAGCAAGGTGACAAGTACTATCACTATAACGCCTGTTACAACGTCTTCCACCCGAGGAACACAATCAGTGGTAAGCAGCGTAGTCTCATGATGTAGTCCTCACGGTAAGGAGAAGGGCAACCATAGTTTGGGTTTGAGACACCAGCAGGGAAAGAATGGGTGGGGTGAGGAGAAACTCTTGGCTTCCCTACATTTGTTTCAGATACGAGCTTAACTATAAAGTCAGAATTTGCCTGATTCATATATTTTTGTACCAGCACTGGACGCTGGTACACTTTAGGCATTATCTCCCAAAGGGGTAACTTTCAAAGGAAGTTCCTGCAAAGTTCCTTTAAAGTTATTTTCATAATGGCAATCCTGTAAAATTGCAAGTGAGAGACAGAGAGGGACAAAGGACGATGGAGATGACAGAGGAGGAAACTGTATTTTTGTTTTTGGTGAGTGCAATTTCTGACTTCTGAAAATATGAAAATACCCATAATGATTTTTGGCCCAGCTGGCGCATCACGCAGGCTGGCATTTCTTTGGCGTAATCCCATTGTAGTTATAATTCAATTAATATCTGCTGTAATGCTGAACTCTAAAGGAATAAATAGCCAGACACGGTATCATTGCTTACAGGTCCAAGCTTTTTTCAGCCAGTGAATAGTAAAGCTCTTTCTCTTCCTCTGAAATTCTCAACTTTTATAAGGGCTGTATTACAACAGTGCTTCCTCTAACATATTTTTTGCTGCTTTCTCTCTGTGCCTCTGTGGTGGTACCCCGGCTTCTTTTTCATACTTAAACCAGTCTCTAACCTCTATCTTTAAACATACTGGACAATATTTTTTGATAGTCCTCCCCCCAGGTTTATTATTGGACATGGTTTTGCATTGCTTTAGTTGAAAATACCCTGGGAACGAAGAATTTAACTAAAATAGAAAACCAGCAGTACTGTATTAGTCCAAAAGCTTATTTAGCTAGACAGAGCCTGTAGCAGATGCTTAGGGGAGGATTAATTTAAGTGGGTAAACACACAGTAATGTTTCCCTCAGCGTCTGTTCCCACTTTTTGGCAAAAGGTGGGTATTTTTTTCTGAACGAGGGCCTGTAGCCACATCTTTGTGTTTAATAGACCATGGCGGAGTTTTCTTCTATTTATTCGTCTAATTGCCTTTTGAACTCATTTATACTGTTGTTTCCACAACATCAGGGGGCAGTGAATTCGGTTGTGGGCTCTGGGGAAAAATGCTCTTTTGTCTGATACCTTTTATGCAATACCTTCATTGGTTACAGCCTCTTTCTTGTATCTTGACAAATACTGAATCCCCTGTTCATTTGTCGGTGCCGCTCAGGAGTCTGCAGAGCCCTACAACACGCCTCTTCAGCCATCTCTTTCCAAGCTGAAATGTTAAAGTGTATTTAAGATATGTTTCCACACTTTTGGAGAGAGGCTGCCATTCCCATTTAAGCCCCCTGACTTAAGAAAACTTGCATTCGTCATATGGATCTATTTGGGATCGCATATGCGTGCTTTCTCTCTCCCCACGTCTATAATGTATTGTAGATACTTTACTGTGCAATGTTTTCCTACATACAAGGGGCAACTGTTCATTTTTTTAAAAGTCTTGAATTAATTCTTTTACAAACTCCTTTGTCTCTCAGAAGCTTGGAAAACTTTTTTTTTTAAGAGTTCCTCATTCTTTTTTACTAGATGTCTGTCTCTACTGTGATGATGCACTGAACCGTGGCAGACAAAACTTTTTTGTTTTGTTTTCCTCTGGCTAAAAAGTGGCTTCTTTCACTTCATCCTCCCTGATTTGGAATGTAAGGAAAATAGTTCAACCATAAGATTTACTTTATCTTATGCTTCCCTTTGTTTTTTAAGGTCCCTAGTCTCTAGTTCCCTAGAACAGGGAACTTCGAACAAGCCCAAATGTGCCTTTTCCTCCCTAACCCTCTGAAAAAAACCCCAGAAGTAGTATATTCACCATCTGTTTCGCAAACGACTACTTTACAAACACATTTCAATACCCCTAGTCAGAAAAAACAAGTTGTGATTATTTACTCAGTAACCCTAGAAGAAACCAACATTGATATAATTTTGAGGGTTTAAGTTCATAAAATCAAAGAAGACAAACTGATACAAAGCTGCTTTCTTAGCTCACTGGCTTTAATTTTTTTCTTAACTCTCCTCATACAAAATGCTTTGTACAATGTACTAATGCAGTCTCAAGCTACGAAGGGGAAAATAATTCTGAAGTTCCTAGCTCTCATCTGTTGCTATAACAAATTTGCAGTTACTGTTTTCATATTTGAAAACATTTAACTCTTCTTCCAATTTGAATTTATAGAGTTATCTTCAGTACTGCAGGTGAAGTTAATTTTAAGGTACTTTCAAAGATTCAGCCTGAGCTGTGGTGTCTCCCTGCATATGTCAGTCCAAAACCAGAGACTGGTTTCACAATGGACCAGTTAGAAGGGTGGAGGATTAAAGGGTGTTATTGTTGTGTTGATTTACACTGACATACACTCTAGAGTAACTAGAGATTTATATTCCACTGATCTAAGTCCTATTTTGAGTCTGCAACAGTTTTGATTTAGATAAAATGAGACCCTGATCCAAAGAAAGACACAGACACCTGAAGGAGAATTTGGGAAGTTTTTGAGCACTTAACCAAAACTATAAACCAAAAAAGGCACCGGTTGGTGACTGTGTCTCCACTGGCACCTGAACTCACTGGACCCCAATGTTTTGGAGGCACTTCATATTCTGCCTGCTGCAGAAGCCCAGGGCTCGTCACACCAGCGCTGCCACCCGGCATTGCCCAGTCCCACAGGGGTCTCTGCGGCAGGAGCTTTGGTGCATCCTGGATCCCAGTGCTGATGTGATGGAGGCTGTTAGACCAGCTGGATTGAATTCAGCATTTAACATAACCATTGCCGCTTTGATGAAAAAAAAAAAAAAAGAACCAAACCCTAATCAGGTAACTGCCTTTTATATCATAGCCTATGGATTTAGGTAATTACCATAGAAGTGGAAAAAATGGGTTTTGGTCCTCCTTAGCTTGATTAGAGTCAAACCCACTCCCAGGAAAATACTTGGACTAGCCTAGCAGACCTAGCAGATAATTTTTTTATTACAGATGGACCACCGCACAACCAAAAATTCAAGACTATGAGACCAGAGGATATGCAGACCAAAATGAGCCTGAAACTGTAGCCTGGTTGTTAGTCTTGCTTTAGCACATTAGCCCAAGTCCCTGTTCCCAGAACAGTTCATATAGTTTACATTAAAAAACCCAAAGAATAAAACTAAATAATCTTTGGGAAAAGAACAACTGTGGTATCTATATCCTGTTTTTTGATTTAGGCCTTACATTTGGTTGTAGGATTGCTGGTGAATTTGGATCTTCTTTGGCTACCAGGATGGGTGTCAGTCCTATAATCACTTCATCCCTGTGCTCCCCACCTCCTACAAGCCTGGCATCCAGCGCCGGCTGTTTATGCTGCCAGGATACACAGTGAATCCGGTGACATGCAAATCGGCAGGGAGCAGAGGGAATCCCGGCTGCAGCAGAGCCAGCGAAGTGGCATGGCACCAACCACGCAGGGTGTCCTGTGTCCGAGGCAGCAAGGCACGGCTGAAAGGCTGCGGGTGCCAGAGCTAACTGGGCACACATTAAAGCAGCTATAAGGCTACTTTCATTTGGGCAGCATTTAGTTTGAGATCGGCATCTAAATTTAGTTCTTTGTAGGTGTCCCATATATGCTCTAAGCTTCTGTTTGAGTTACTACAGATCCAGGGGTCAGCTCACTCGCCCGTATAGAGGTGCGTGGTGCTATCTGCATGCCCTATGGCAGTTGAGACACGTGCATGAGGCTGGGAGGAGTAACGCGGACCTGTACCTTTCTGCAGGGGAAGCTTTCGGGATACCTCAGATGGCACAAGATGCCTCAGTGCAAGCGACTGAATCAGTCCCTAGTCATCAGTCCCCCTGTCAGCACTGAGCCCTGTATGCTGGAGGCTGGAGGGCGATTCAGCTGAGGCACTGCTAGCTTCGGGGTGAGCTGAATTGCCCACTGGGCTCCACTGACTGTGTTGACTAGATCGCAAGTCCCACCTTTTCAATTGCCTAAACATACTTCTTTAGTGTCATTTTAAGTGCTGTCAAGTAGCCTGCCTAACTTCCAGCCCCATTATCAGAGGTTGCATGTCTCTTTGGGTCCTCTGTCTTATCTACCAGCCCTGTGCAGATGGCTTGAATGGCCCAAGGCATCTCAAATTGCACTGCGTACCTACGTATCAACCACTGAACTGAACCATTTCTGTCCAGGGCAAGCTGGTCTCTGATCTGATCGAGAACAAGTGCTGAAAAAGCACCTTTGTTACTAAAATATTCCAAAAGTGTATGTGTGCATGAAAGCACTCCTTTTGTGTGTCAATAAAATGCACTGAACAGGTTCTGTTATAAACCACTAAAACATGCTAAATGTTCTGTACATTCAAATTGCTTTTCTTCCTTTAATGGGACTGTCCAACCTTACTGCAACCTCACTGCTTAATATACTTGCCAGTGTCTGCAGTGAGCGCTGATTATCGACCTAACCAGCTTAGCGGCTGCATGTATTTATCTCCCTCTCAGTAGTGTGTTTACTAACCTTGCTCTGGCCCCCTGTGCTGTCCCAGTACCACATACTGCCAGCTCAGAGCCAGCCAGCGTCACTCTGCGTCCCGCGGGGCCGCGTCTCGGGCGCTCCGTGCCGGCTGCGTAAGAGTTGGTTTCTGGTTGGAGCCGCATTCCTGTATCAACCAGAAGACAAGACAGCAGGCTACAGACAAACGGGGCTGGAGGGAATTGCTTGGTGCTTGGGTCATGGAAGGAATGGCCAAGAGACAGACAGTCATGTGGGTTCTCTGCCATAGACACTACGGACGTGTACCAGAGATTGTCCTCTGCCTGCTTACCCCCTCGCTCTCGCAAAAGGGGACTGCTTGCTGAAGAGCCACCTTTGTGCCATTTGTCGCGGCTTAGCAAATACAAAATGCTTTTGCAGCTGCGTGTGAAGCAGGCATTAGCATCCATACGATCAACATGTTAGTATGCCGTAAAGAGGGCAACTTAAGAAATTTAAAGCAAGTTAGAGTTCTTTTCAAAGTGCTTTTGAGTGATTTAGGCTTGAAATGAGTAACTTGAAAGCGCCCAAATCCTTAGTTAATAATTTACATGTGAATAAAGCTGAAGAAATGCCTGAGATTCCAGCTACTTCATTTGATTGCCTCATGTTTACACACTGTGGAGCTCTTTCAGGGAGTACAAGATGTTTGTCATTTGGGTTCCCTGGGATGTTGACATATTTTCCAAGGCTGATGGAATGCATTTGCATGTTTTGCCCTACAGAATTGTATGGGCCTAACTTGTTTTGACATCTACATGTGAGTTCCATATTAGCCTTTAGACTGCTATTCTGCTATTGTAAATGTTGCTTTTAGTTATTGAAAATGGCTTCCTTCCTGCCAGGCAGACAGCATTCAAGTTTTGCAATTGTGAGATTTTTTTTGTGTACGCATGGGGTTTTGAACTGTTCTTAGAAGATTAAGGAATGGTTTTCCTTTGAATACTCAGGATGCAGACAGAGGGCTCTGATGCTACTGGCTGGAAATCCTTCGAGAGAGAAAAATGCTCCTTCATGGAGCATTTTTTAAAAGCATTTTTTAAAAGCATTTTTTAAGTGAATGTGCAAATACATGTTGCAGTTGACACGATCCCCTAATCCAATCTGTTTCAGCAGTTTAGTTTTATTTTGCTTACATGACATAAGTTGCAGAATTTAGTCATTCAGCAGATGGGTCTAGCTAGGATTCCAGAACCTTATGAAAAGTATTCTCTTTTGTGAGATCAAAGTCTTCATTATCTGAACGGAAAAAAGTCACATATGAAATTCAGCTGAGACACTGAAGTTGTCACTGTTAACATTTGTGTCTGTATTGCACACTGCAGAAGATAAAACACATTTTCCTCTCAGAATTGTCATGGTTATAAGTATTTTCTTTAGGTCATGGTCCTAAGGTGTAGCTTTTAGTTCTGGCCTTGCAGAGTATGTGCAACATTATCTGGCCAATGGAGACAGAAAAGACTAGTTGGCCCTTCTGAATCTTTTTGTCCTATCCAAGTGCTCCTTGTGTGTTTACACAGTGGGATTCAGTTGCCTAAACGTATGTACCGACTGCCATTTTTGAAGCTATAGTATAGCCGGAATGGCCTCCAGCAGGGCACAGGTCCCTGGTAGGCATCGTGTTGGGTCTGCCAGCCCCATGCTTGGGTCCTCGCCGGATTCCATCCAGAAGAAAAAAACATTAAAAATTTCTCAAGGCCATATTTTTTTTTGTATTCTGAAGTCCCCAAACTTGAGGATAAGTGTGCTTGGTAGGCCGGTTGGCAGAGGTAGTAAAATGACCATGTTCACACTGCCTTGAGGTATCCCTGGAAATCTGGGCTGCCTGCTTCACCCTCGCCAGAGTTCATCAAGTGGTGACTAGGGCTTGGAGAGGGGGGAGCCCTCTCCCACATCCCTCCTCCCATGGTCACAAGGAAAAGGAAATCCAAATCTGTGCCCTGTCTCCCTCTCCCAGCCCTTCTCACTTCCCTCTGCCCCTGCACTTCCCAGTGCAGAAATAAGTGGCCCCAGCATACTTTGGGAACCAAAGTTCAATTTTATCTATACTGCTCAGAAATCTCGCCCCAGATCTGAAAATATGGCAGTTACTCTGGGTTCAGCATTAGCCTCACATGGCTATGCTGTTTTGAGGGCCCGGGCTAGTCTCTGTGCAAGGTGCTAATATTGCACCTGTCTGACAGCTAAGCCAGCGTTTCGGTAGCCTCTAAGGCCGTCCTGCACTGTGTCGTGCTGTGGAATTGGATTTTGCAGGGATTCCCATCCTCATGACATCTTGATCCAAAACACCAGACCGCAGCTCTGGGAACTCGTTTGATCCTGACTTTGTACCTTTGGTCCTACTCTAGCAGTACGTGCTACAGCCAGGTTCCAAACGTGAACGTTAATTTGCTAATAGGCGTGATTTAGGACATTGTTGCTTGAGAGGTAAATGAAGAGCCAATGAAAAGTATAAGATGAGCGTATAGGAGACGAAAAAGTCCTCCGTCCATGTAATTTCTCTCTGTCTCTCTCTTTTGCAGACAGGACAGGATGGGTCATCCCCGAGACCTACACCCACCCGCATTCCTGTGTCAAAAGGTATGAAAGCAGGAAAGCCAGTAGTGGCAGCCCCAGGAGCAGGAAATGTGACAAAATTCGAGCCTCGTGCCGAGACTCAGTCTATGAAAATAGAACTGAAGAAATCTTCAGCCAGCAGCTCTGCCTCCCTGGGTGGGGGTCAGGGCTGATGGCGGTGGCTCAGGGGGTACGTTCTGCAGGTTTTACTGCTACCATGGAAGTCGGCCCCCTGTCTGTGTAGTTGCTCACGTTTGCCTGTACTAACGGAGTCCTGCAGCTGTTGCTTACAACAAACTAACAAGTGTGTGCACTGACTACTTAAGTAACAACATCCTTTTGTTTTCTTCCTGAAGTAAAAAAAAAAAAAAAAAAGCCATCAAAAAGGCAGTTGTACGCCAGGAAGATTTTCAGCCTAGGAAGGGAGAATGGGGCAACTGCACTAGGTTATTAATTTAGCCCAGGATTTCTTAATGATAGACTTGGTCACATTTTAATAGATCAAAGGAAATTTGGTCACTTTTACTAGACTGTCTTCCACCTTAACGGATCACTTTCCACCTTCTCTGCTGCATGGGGCACTTTCCTTCCTGCCTGTGATCACATTTTTTGAGATGCCATGTTGCCTAGGGAAGCAATGCCAGGAGACAGCGCACTCGAGGTCCTATTTTAATGATAGCTAGTACCTCAGGTGCGGGAGGGAGGGGAAGAGAGAAAGGACAGGCACCCTGTGACCAGCCTTCTCTCTAGGAGTCTCCCATCCAAATCCGCGTTTCTCAGTGGTGAGCTGCTTTCTCAAGGTGGTTACAAAATACAAGGGGGTAGGCAGCAGCAGTAGTAAGCAGCAGCTTATTTCTTCCAGAGGGGGTTAACACTTGTGGACAGTACTTCCAGCCGGGTCCCCGACTTACACACACTGGGTTACTGCCAGCTCAGGGATCAGATGAAGGCAAGTGAGCCAAAAGGTGTTTAGTCCTTAAAAAAAGCTTGAGAAACATTGATCAATACAGTCCATCAATACAATCAATACAGTGCATTAATACAATCAATACAGTCCATTTGTGCTTGCTCCAAAGACCACTAAAGGCGATGTAGCAAGTCACTCCATTGACTTCACTAGGTTTTCAGTTTTCCTGGCTGGATGCTATATTTAAACCTTAGTTGCCAAGCATCCTTATGTCTTAGAGGGGAAGTAAACACAGACTGCTGGTGGCAGAAATTGCTATTGAAAGGCACAGCTCAGGTACAGACAGTGAAAGAGATAGGGTTTGGTATGGAAATTACTCTCAGTTCTCAGTTGTTTGAAATATTTTGTCTTAAATACAGACTGCCTCACAATACCATGGCGATTCATCGTTTTTCCTTCCCTCTTTGTGATTTCCTCATTTATATGTTTGCATTTTTAAGCATGTTTTAAGGAATTGTTCCAGCATGGAAATGGTGTGGATGCCAATGATTGTTATGATTGTTTATTTAATAACAGTAAAATTATTAAAGGGCATTTCCATTAAGTGATCGATTTCCACAGAAGAAAGTCACAACCAAAAGAAATGGAGCCGAGCAGACTAATAAATGATGGTTTTAAAACTTGTATAATACCTCAACCACCAAGCAAGCTGTAAAGGACCCAGTGGTTAGGAATAGCTTTTAGAAGGCAAGGCATGAAGACCTCCAATAAATAATAAATACTATTCACAGAAAAGAGAATGCACCAGTGGGTGATACATTAAATGGCTTTCTGTCTGGGAGAAGAGATTTGATGGAAGAATCTGCCACAGAAGGTCAGCAAAATTATACGCAGTCCAAGCAATGTTTAGTCTTCAGTCTGCACTTTGCATTACTCTCCAATTTAAGATCCAGATATGGCCATTATCCCAGCGTAAAGCTGGCATTTTATTATTCACGTGAAGAGCATTTTGTCTGTGGTGTAAAAGCTGCTGCCACATCAGAAAAGAAGTAGGTTTCAATTTTTACATGTGTAGCACCTGCAATACCTGTTAATTTTAAGGTTCTGGCTCCTATGACATCTGAAAATCAGATTTGTATTAGTAGCATTTTTCATAACACTCAATTCCCAGTATTTCAGCTAAAACTTGGAAAGTGGAATTAGCAAGCAATTGTGAGTTACTATGCCAGAAATATAGCAGATCCTCTCAACTAATTGTTATCACTTAAAAGCCTCAATCTGTCAATAAATTGTTGCTGAGATCTTATTGTAACATAGCAGATGTTTGAAGAAAACACATTATTAAGAGCTTTTTGCTGGATATTCACTCTAAATACTGGCACTGAAGCAAGTCTTCAGGTCAAAACAGTCATTTAAATAATATTGCAAACATGAGCCCCAAGCTAATGTGGCTTGATACAGTGATGAACTACAGCTGCCTTAAGCCTTTCTTTTCAGATCCTTGTTTCAAAGAAACTTACTGCCTTAGTTAACTGTTGCTATACTCAGGGCAATCTTCTATGTGTGCCTGTGGTTGAAAGATTTGTTTGTTTTGCTTGAGATCCAAGAAACCAATTCACCTGAAGAAACAAGCCAGCCTTACAGTACCCGAAATCCAAGACACACAGATTAGCACGACTGAACCAGAACTGCGGGCACAAGCCGGGGATTACTCTTGTAGAGTCAGTAGGATTTCAGGAGACGGACTCGAGAAATTCCAGACAGGTCAGACCGAGGATCCTGTTATTTTTCCCAGGGGCAGCACAACAAAAAGGAACTTATGCTCCATAGCAGAAGCCCAAAGAGTTGGAATCAGGCAACTGGTTTAACCATTAGCTAAAAATAGGTATTTAGTTGTACTCATCATTTTTAACATCTGTTTTAATTGACTTGTTTCTTAAAGGTAGAAGAAGGGTAAGATGAAGAAAAAAGAAAGCCTATAGTTCAGAAGTCTTAAAAGTTGGAGTGTAACTGTCTTTATTATATTGGAATTTCCTCTGAATCTGAAGACGGTAATGTTTAGTGATTACAGTAAGATTCTCCATTCAAGTAGGTCAGCTCCTAGGCAATTTAGACAACCAAGTCTAAAGACAGTGCCTAAGCCCCAGAGGCATCCTGAAGATCTTCCTGAAGTTCTTCCACTGCACTTGTCTAGTCAGTGTTTCACTTGTGACTTAACCAGCACTGCAGCCTCTGAACCTAATCGAGATCCATAATCTAGCTATTCTTGTATTTCCTCTAAGGGCTTTAAGTCAAGCCAAAATTTCATGGTCACTTCAAGTCAGGATGTAACCCCCGCTGGAGTCAAAAGCTGCAGTCCTGTCTTTGTCACCTCCAGCCAAGAAAGTACTCACCTCCATGTGGTTGTCCCTTGAGCTGGCACAAGTGTTTGAACTTCACTGGGGAACTGATCTGAACTAAAAGGAATCTGGCAAAAAGCATAAAGGCTCGCTTTAACATAGCTTAGGTCCAGGCTCTCGGGCCAGAAAAAGAAAGAAGGAAGGCGTAGGAAACCAGTGGCTGTTTTAAAGTGACTGTGGAATCATGAATGCCTCCTAGTAAATCATATACCGTACAAATGTAGAGGTAGTGCTGCTTATTTTAAAAAGCTTTTGATTGAAACCTTTCGTCAAAGGTAGGAGACGGGTCCCTCTTCTCACCAGTATCTGAGGAGACTCAAACCCACATCAGCTCCAGCCAGTTCACCGATAGCACTGACAGACAGTTAAGGGGGAAGAAGGTGGCATTCTCATTCCCTCCTGTAAAGGCTGTGCTGTTCTGCATGGAGGGCTTCAGTATTCACTGAGCAGAAAGAAAAGCGTGGTTGAGTGGTCAGGATATTGAACTAGGAGGAGGGAGCCCTCCCGGATTCTGGTCCCTGTCCCAAAGGCTGCCTTTGAGCCTGGCCTTTTGTGAAAAGAAGGCTTATAAGGTGAAGTGTCTGTGTTCATCCATCCCTCCATCTGTCCTTCGTTGATGAATAACATTGAACACACCAACCAATTTCAACCATATCTGACAAAGCAATAAGGGTCTCCAGAATAAGAAGTTCTTCCAGTTTAATGAAAAGGGCGACAGAGGAGAGGAGCAAGACCTTAGCAGTGCCCCACAGCGCGGAAGAATGTAGCATGAGCTCACCTTCATAAAACGTCAAAGAATGAACACAAAAGAGGGATGTCAGAAATACCACAAGGACAAACTTTGTTCAGACCTCAGATTTAACTAGGCACCGAAGAATCAAACTCTGAGACACCAATTCATAGGAAAATATTAGGGCCTTTATTTACAGGGCTTCTTGTGTATTCTACATTACTGGATTACAATGCAGAAACCAAACCTTCCTCTGCCCAGGTGATCATCTAAAATGACTCATCCTCATGCGTTCTCTCTTACCTTTTTCTCTGTATTGATTTTTTTTATGCAGTGGAACAGTCTCAGTAGTAAAATGCACTCAACTCAGAGTAATAATGATAGTTACAGTGCTTCATCAGGAACTGAGCTGGCTGAGAACCGATCTTTCTATTTTTGGTAGGATTCAATGTCAGCTGGAGAGATGCCCTGTTCTGGCTGACTGCGTGGCCATATAAGCAGTCGTGATAACTGGGAGCATACGGCTTGGGACAGCAGTAAGGTGGAGAGGCAGAAGAGCAGGGAAAGGGCCAACCCATTAATGAGCAGCACACATGGACTGAGAAGGTGCACCCTCAGTTCTCCGGATGATCTCTGTGATTTTAAATCTAGTTCTAGTAAGTTTTCCGCTGTGTTCTCTAGATTAGATCCCATCACCTGAATTACTGTTACATACGAGTACTGCTAATGTAGTCATTAGCAGAGCAATACATTTGAGTAAGTGTGACTGAAAATGAGGGAGCACAGAACTTCAGCCCTAACGCCTGGGGGATTTCTCTCAGATCAGTAAACATGCTAAGTAAATAACAGAAGAAAAACAGAGATTTTGATTTATTTGGCCCACCTTTTTTTCCTTTTGTGACACCCATTAGTGTGATTTTTCAAAAAACAAGTAACACTTTGTGACTCTTCTGAATATGCCCATAGAGTATGCATGTTACCATATTTAAATCTCAGACCACTTACAGCACATAGTAATTAGCATCATTTGAGTAATCTCGAAAGTCACATTAATATGTTGATTCATGCCAACTGAATGCCAAGTCATATGTTACCGCCTGAAATATGCTACACATGTTCTAAAATATGCCCAATATTTACATGACTTTTCAGTGATTCTGATCAGAAGTGGAAGAGCACATCTTTAAAGAGAGTAAGCTACTGTCCTGCTGGGTTTCAGGTGCTTGGCATAAGCTGCAAGAGTCAGGACAATTTTCAGACCAATTATATGTTCCCATCACACATCAGTGGCCAATTTCATTGAGTCGGTTTGAAACCTGTAGTTTGCTGGCAGGAGTTTCTGTGAGCTCATCTTTCGAACTTGTTTTCATTTAGGGGAATGTTTTTCTCCCCTACGTCAGTGCGAGTTATCCTCTTTACTGAGCGCTCTCAGGCGAAACCGTATGCAATATTTCTCATTATATATGATAACTTCACTTTTTGAATCTTTCTTACTACCTACACACTGCTCTTACTTGGCTTTTTGGAAGATGCCGTCAGGGTTAACTCCTCTCAGATGCAGAGCTGTCAGCTCTGAGAGTCAGGTATGAATCACTCGGGTATGAATCGTTCTTCACCTCAAAAACTCCCTTCAACAGGATTTTAAAAATAGAAATACTGATGTATTATTCTTTTCTGTCGCTTGGGCGTGCGTTGTCTGTGGTACATACATTTTTGTATTATCTGGTGTTACTGTTCGTATATATTGTAAGAAGAAATTAAACTTCATATGTTAAATGTCAGTTGATGTGCTTTATTGTATGAACTGATATTTTTGATAGGCCAGCTGTTTATGATGTGTTTCTCAGAGAAGTTCTGATTTACATCAGTGGGACTGAAAGCAGAATTAGCAGTTTTATATTAACTTTGTTTTCTTTTCCTGTCGTTAAAATAAATTGTTTTGTTTAAGTGAATTCATAGCTCCTTGAAATATTCACAGCTATAACCCTACAAAAAGTTATGTAATAATATCCTACAGATATAATCATATTCCTACAGAGGGTGGTCCAACAGAACTCTGATAAAATCTACTATAATTTTAGCTTAATAACTACTCAGACACCTCTTTTAGTAACTAGAATGTGTGTGTGTGTGTGTATATGTGTGTGTGTGTGTGTGTAATACATATATTTATACATAAATAAGCATTTCAAATACAAACAACTGATAGACAAACTAAGAGCATAGATATACGTGTGTGAGATATGAATGAATAAATGAATACTAGAAGTGGAAATCATTTGATCTTTTTATTATTTCTCTTGCTCTTTTCTGCATAATTGCTGTATTTGGTCTGTAGGAGGAAGACTGATTCAGAAATCTACTGTAGTTTTGCTATTCATTCAGTGACTGAGCCTTTACAAGGAGCATGATATTTTTCTGCTACCCATTTAGTTTTTAGAATTTTGTATCTAAACTCAGTATTAATATACAATGTGCATAGCGAATATTAAGAAAAAAATTGTTTCATATAGAGTTCATGTGACTCCCATTGAAGTTAATGGGAGAGTTCGCCTGAGGTCACAATCTGATACTAAGTTAATGCAGCTTTTTACATCATATTCCGCAAGAGCTTGAAGTTAGAGAACAGTACTGGTTGTAAGGTAAAATCTTACTGTAAGTAAGTAGTTTGTGGTTCTTTCACATCCATTGCTCAAATTTGGTAGAACTGGTATACATATGTTGTTGAAAATCATTTGTTATTGATAAATTATATGGAAAAGAAATACTTTTTATTTGGGAAATTCTATTATTTCATTTGCCTTAACATAAGTTCTTGAATGTTGCCTTAGCCCCGCTTTTCTGATTCACCATGTATGAAAAGCATCACCGGAATCTGCCATCTAGTGGCAAAGTTCTGGCATTAAAAATACATGGAAAACATTTTGATTTTCTTTCCTCTTATAATGTAACTTAATCAAACATCTTGAAAATATTAGGTAGGAAGCAGACAAAGGCAGAAGTCAATACAAATGTAAAAGGGAATAAATACATGATTAGTGTCATTTCTTGGGTCGTGTAAATTTTGAAAAATCTTCAGACTATTAAGAGAGGAAGGAATCTTAAGAAAGAAAACAAGTAATTTCAATTAAGAAAATTAGTATTTCTGAAAATGTATTATTATATGTTTCTAGTTAGCATTGGTACAGTTACATTATTTGAAATGCAGAAAATACACCTTTTCAGAGAAAAAGTCATTGATAGCTAAATTCTTATATTTAAAAAGTTGCCTGTAGGAGCAGTGTATTTAGAGAGAAGAACAGAAGACTAGGTCATTAGTATTTCAGGAGAGCCCAGAGATTAATCAGGATCAGGGATCTGCTACGTTACACACAGGGCAAAGTTAAACCCGGCCTTTCAAAGACAACACCAACACTTAGTTTTGCATGGTGTGGCTGAAATTTATCCCCGTTAAAGTCAGTAGCAAAATTCAAGCACACTTGCTGAATAAAACCAGCATAGGTTTCTAAGCCAAATTTCAATTAAAAATGAGAATTGACCTCATACCTCTTCCTCATCCCCATTGCAGAATCGCCAGCAGGTTTATGAGGGATTTGCTCAGACAGGATACAAGAGACCCAACTCCAAGTCTTCCTCTACCTGATTCGGGTGTGGGACTGGAACCTTGGTGTTGCTGTGGTTTAATCCATTCGACTATATTACTCTTTTTCCCTGTGGACAACTGAGTGATGGTCATGACATCGAAGTGGAAGCCAAGGGCTCCTGAGTCGTAGCCTGCTACTAATTTAGTTTCCCTTTGTAGCATTAGCCAGGACAGTTTTTATCAACCAGTGATGCGAGAACAAGCCTGCGAGACACTTCGTAGAAGAGAAATGCTTTGCACTGCCATTGTAATTGTTCTTCTTTAGAGTAACTTGTAATTCATTTGCAGCTTCATAAACCCAAATGTTTTGCTATCTTTTCTTTTAGAGAGTGTCATCATTCACCAGTTACGCATGAACTCTAGATGAGTTACCGCCCCCACTATACGCTCTCTGTGTGCACTACCCTCCTTGCCAGTTGGATGGATCACTGTAGAAGCTCTCTACCATCAACACCAGGGTCACTTGTGCTACTGATTATTCGCAGAAGTATTTATTGCTTCTGGTAGATTTTATACTTTTTTTTCTTGGTAGAGCTTTAAGAATGAAGGGCCTTGCTGATGTTTTGAAAGTACATAGTCACAGAGAGAGAAGCAGTCTTTCTGCCAGCTGAATTTCACTTTTATTTGCAAAGCCTAAGGCACGTGCTTTATTTTGTTTGATGTTTGCCATATAATTTATTTTTATAATACACTTTGTAAAGTAACTGTCCCAAAGTTGCAATTCCTGTTGTCCATGGCTCATTTATTTGTAGAATACACTGTCAAATTCGCAATTTGATATTTTTGTAATAGAGAGTATGTAAAGAAAGAAGAATTTAACTTCAACAATGTTTTATGTTTGAATGGAAAAATATTCAGCACATTTTTTTGCCACGATGAGATTCTGTGAGTCTAAATGCTCTGAAGTCTGCTGTATGGAATTTGTACTATTGCAGAATATTTCTTGCACTGTGTGATGGTTTGGCATAAATTTAAGTATTAAGGTCCAATGCCTTGAAATACAACCAGATTTACTCATTTTAAACAATGTAAGCCAGTTTTTAAAGCTGTGATTTTTTTTCTATACAATGTATGTTTTTACTTCTGCCTGTACCGAAAAAGTTGATTTTCATTACACTGTAACTAATAAATTTTCACAACTATGCAAATGTAATCAAGTGTTTGAATTTTAACTCTAATTTCTTAACGTTGACAGTACTCATATATATTTGTTTATAGGGACAGAATGTATGCCTTTGGAAGTTACTTTTTCTGACTGGTATTTCACTGCGGTATCACAGTGATGTACATAGTAAAACTGATTTGGATGTTAAGATACAGGGAGGGATCTATCACCAAGCCCTTAATGACTTAATGGTTTCTAACCTTGCTCTTTCACTGCACTGGCAGAGACGTCCGATTGGTACCATCAGAATATTAGTCCAAGACTAATAAGACCATATAAATGAGAAGCCACGCACTCTGCCATACGCTGAAGGCACATCTTACACTGGTGGCTGTAATTTTTCAAATAGCATCCAGAGAGTTCTGTGGCAGCTATAGTTAAAATTATTTCTGAATGAATTATATGTAAAGCTGGATGCAACCAGACCAGCAGGGTCTTTTTTTCTTACACATTTCATAATGAATTATTTTTAATCTAAGTCATTGGCACATATTTAAAATACTGCAGATTTTTTAATTGCAGAAGCTACTGGGAGAAACTATTTTTTGGAAGGGAAAACGGTGTTTCTTGCAGGAGATACGCTGTGGGACGCCAGAAAGAGTGCATTAACTCAGTATCCCATGGAGATGAATAGGCCAGTTCATTTTTGAAGCTGTAATAACGCACTGCTATGTAGTCAATTTTATCTTCGTGGTTTAGTTTGCTTGCCAGCCATGGGAGCTGTTTTTTTCTTCTAGATACGAGTTCTGCAGCAAATGCTGACATTGTAGAGAGGCAGGATATTCTGGGACCTGTATAAACTTTCTTGGAGTTGATTGGCATTGTAAAGAGTTTGCTAATAAAGCTATACTGAGTAATCAAAATAAATGCTGCTTATCCTTGCAAAAGAGTAATTTTGTTGGCATATCTTGTACTTCAGCTTGTACACCAAGTTTTTTAAGGAGTGTTTTTTTTTTTCTTATGGCAGACAATGTATGCCAATAACATAGCTGTGTCTGTAGATCATGTTTTAGAGCGAGTCAAGAAGAATTCCAGCTTTCAGAGAGTAATACTGCTGAGGTGAATAAAGTTTAGCATGTGCCACATTTCAGTTTACTGCGCAGTAGAATGAACATTGTAATGACCCAGATCATCTATTTTCAAAGCATTACTTGGGAATCAAAACCTATCCGTGTTAGGAACTACATTGAGCTCATCTGGAATGAAATTGCGGGCTATTTGAAAGTGACAGTGACATGCCTGAAGTAAACTTCAGCTTTTAAATATGAGTAAGATATAAGTAAAATCTTATTCTGAAGTTGAGTCTAGATTTAAAAGGTCCCAACCAAAGTAGAAAATATTTTTCCTTGTCTAGTTTTTAATATAAAGCCGATTCAGTATGAATGTATGTATAAGTTGTCCCCTTTTGTTTTATAATTTCTAAACAAATACATAAACATTTATGGTTTCGCAAATACATTAAGTTTTTAAGCTTTAAAAAAATAAAGGTTTGTTTAAAGCATAAATACGGTCATGGTGTATTTGAAATAATTTAGATTTTAAAATATTTTCAATGAACTGCAGCACTTTTGGAGACTGGTAACACTGGTTATAAAAGATCCGTGGTAATATACACTATTTCATCGCTGATAATGGTTTATGCAGGTAGAATAATAAATCCTGATCTGACACCTGACCAGCAGCTAAAGTATGTCACAGAAATGCCCGGAGGGTAAAACTCATGTGTGCAAAACGTGTATTTCATTATCAATGCATTTATGTTCCTGGTCAATTTTTTACATGACCTAATTTGGATTTGAATCTAAAACAAGTAAAAAAAGTGCATTAGCCACATAATTAGCCTATATTTTGGGGACACTCAGGAAGAAATCTATTAATATAGGCTAAAGATGTGATTAATTTCTGCAAGCATTGTCATTTTAAAGGAGTAATTAGGAAGTGCTTTCAGATGAAGACAATGTAGAGGCTATCTTGGGCTATAGATATCAGTGGCTTTTAAGCAATTGAAAACCAGTGAAAGATCTACTTTTCTCTTAAAGGTCTCGTACTGTCTAAAGAGGATTGAAAGACCTGTGTTAGTATAATTACAGGTAATAAAATACGATGTTTCAATCTATTAAAAAGATCTCAAATACTTTGATTTCTAGAGAAAAACTCTACAGCCTGTGAGTTTTCCTTTTGCCTCATTGTGAAACATAACCGGACCAAAGAGGAAACAAAACTGCCTGTTTTGTAGAACCATCTCAAATGTAGATAACAAGGTATCAAATGGAGGTTACTGCCCTGAATGTTCCACCTCCTACCGTGAATCACTGGGTTTTATCTCTTCTTCTAAACAGTAACATTTAAGTTGAAAACTTCGTATTTAATGCTTTAAGTTATGTAGATTTGCTCCCTGAAATAATCTACTTGGCAGTCAATGGATTTTATTTGCCTTGTCTGTTCTAAATATTAGTGGTTTTAACAGCGTAAGGTTTTACTTGTTTAGATTTTATTTTAAAAAGCATTAATTATTTACATCTTTCCTATAAGTAAGCGGACAGTGTGATAGGGTAAGTGCCAGAAGACGGCCATTTTGGGGGCTTAATGGAATACAATTAAAAAGTAAATGCCTATTGGTGGTCTTTTAAATTAACTACAATACATTCATTTTTGTACAATTTTAAGGCTCATTTTATACCCCTGAAATCAGACTTCAGTTTTCAAATTAAAATTTTGTAATTTTAGCATTTATGCTTAGGTAGTCTGACACGTATTTGCTTCTTCCTTGCCTTAAAGGTTAATAAATGCAACACACTGAGGCCTTGACTATGTAAGATGTCTGTGTATCAGTCATTGCTAAGTGAATGTCTAATAAATGCCATTCCACATATTAAAAAGGAATGTTATAAATGTATGTTTTTATAAGTATTTTTCTTTTTTTTTCTGTACCCATTTGCTTTATAACTGCACACAAACCAATGTGAAGTGCACTACATCGCACAGCACCTCATTGTAAAATTTCATGAACGTGAAATTTGTTGGTTGCACTTGCCTGGATATAAAGGAATTTGCCTTAGTGTAAAACTGTGGAATAATATCCAACCAAGACCTTAGCTTACCGGTGAAAAAGTAAAACCAATATATTGAAGTATTTATGCTGATACTCTTTATTTCTCTAAAGAATGGAAGTAAGATATACCCTGTGATTGCATCCAGTTATGCTACTGAGGACATAATTATTTTGATAAAAAGAAAACTCATGCTTCTAGTTAACCTAGTTGTTACAGTGCAAAGTGTATGTGTAAGCCAAGCTTATAGACAAACATACGGCCTTAGATACAACTAGGTTGAAAAGAGAGAGTTGTAACCGGTTAATAACAGTGGATCTGATTTGTATGGTACGTTAAATAGTTTTTCTGTTTCACATCATGCAGAACGGTAAGCAGAGATTAGTTCAGACACCTCACTTCAGGTGTTGCTTTGTCGATATGGCAGTACTTATCCTCGCATCAGGACTCGGCCATGAGGACGTGTACCATACCACACCACACGACGTTAAATTTGTCCAGTTCAAAATTGGACAGCAGCTGATTTCACTGGGGTGGAATGGAGGAAATTCTCCTGTTCTCTTCTTTTTCCACATTTCCCAGATTTATCCTGGGCTTTTGTGGCTATGGCTATATTAGCACGTCATTTGATACAAATGGAGCGGATCGGCACGTAAAAGTTCTGGGGCTCTTCCCATCTCCGTAATTTGAGGTTTTCCTGGACTGGATTTGGTCTGCTCCTAGGTGAAATGCCTCCCCTGCAGGTCGTTTTGAAGCTTTTTGAAGGAAAACTTTCACATTAACCTGTGTTTGCTTGACTGAGGGCCTCTCTGCATGATCCTCCAGGAAGCGCTCCACTGTTCTTCTGCCCATTTCACACAAACGATAGCACTACATCAGTGATCCATCACTGTGGCCCACAGCATCACTACTGTGGCTACTGCCCAACAGCTGACAGAGCCCGTGCCCAGTTTAACGATTGCAGAACAGATTCCCACACAAATTTAATGTGCCCTTTCTTGCCAGTCCTCTCACACCTGGCAGCATAAGATTCCCAACTTCCCGGTATTGCCCTCCTGTCATCCTGCTGCCAGAGAAATTTCTTGCCATCTCTCAGCACAGGTTTACAAGCAGTCTTGTTCCCTTGGGATCCCAGTTGCACCTCACTGGATTTTCTGTGAGGCTGCGAGAGTAAAAGTTACTACAGCTGAAGCTGGTAATTGAAAACAAAAGATAATAAAGAAAAGGGTGATAATAGGGACAAGGGGCTCAGCTAGGGGGAATGACAGCAAAAGGTAGGGCCCACAAGATAATGGAAAGGATAAATTAGGAATGAGATACAGCTTTAGCACAGATGCCACGATTAATTAAGGAATACGATTAATTTTTGAACTCTAAATAATTATTTAGGCATCAAAGTAATTCTTAAATTTTAGATGCTTAAATGTCCAAATTTCCTATGCTGTGAAGAGAGCTCTTCTGAGTCTCCACAGAGAGACCGCATTTGCACAAGTCATTCGCTCCCCCCACTGGTCTTTGTCGATACTTTCGGTTCTTCAGAGAA